CACCGAAAGAACCTTTCATTTAATCCAAGTATCAAGCCGAACATTGACACTGTCAAGGCCAATGTGGGACCCGGCCCTAGGTCTGCTGCCCTGCCGCCGACACCGGCCACTGGAACCTTTGGACCCGGTCAAAGTCGTGCCGGTGAGCATCCGATGCGTCAGCCTCGCGGTCCCCCTTCGCTTGAGGACCTCGTGGCCAAGCCCACCTCCAAGCACGAAGGTAGCAAAAATTTTGCGACCCGTCAGCGACGTCGTGCTGTTCACAATCTTGTTCGCGCAGGGATTGAGCGACGTGGCGACACCCGCAGTCTTGGATACCATAGTAGCGGGGGCACCAACACCCCTGCGAGTGAAAAAGAATTTACCTTCTCAGATGGCGATGATGCTACCGTACGCAGCGGCGGAAGCCTCTCCAGCAAGCCTAGTCTAGGCAGCTTGCGAGCAGTTGCTAATGGTGCCATTGGGTCCGAGAGAAGAGAGAGATCCAGCCGGGATCGCAAGTCCCCAGACAGTCCCTTCCACAGCGCCACCCCGACTAGCGAGGACGGTGGCTACTTTTACTCCAAGTTTGTTGATACTCGCGGGGACTATGCTCCCTCACCTAGTGCTAGTGGCACCTCGTCGCCGTCAGTGGCGGATGTTGTTGCTGGCCAGGGGCCGGTAGTTCAGGCACCAGAACGACGCAAGACGCCGATGCTGGTGTTGTCCAGCGCTGAAAAACGCAAGACACCCTTCATGTAATGCCGAACATCACGTGACAGTGACGTATGACCTTTGATCTTTTTTTTTCTTTTTGCCAAACGGGTTGGCTGTTGTCTTTCTTTCCCTATCGAATCCTGATCAAATAGTCTTGACAGCGGCTGATCCTCTGCCATTCCTTTCCTCATCACCACTATTGCTGGCAATTCATGCCGAAGTTTATGTTTTTTGCGACGAAAGACCTTGATTGGTCTGAAATGACTCTATTCTTACTTGTTTTCTTTTTGCGCCTCTTCAACTCATTATCCCCTAAATTTTGCCACCTAGCTTTCATTACAGCCGAGGCTCGGCCGACCGGCTCTATATGCTTGGAACTGACACTGGAAGAGAGGCTCCTGCCATGGCAAGTTGTCGTTTCTTCTCTTCTCCATTTGGCTTCTGGTGTACATCTGGTTATGTACAAACAGCTCTCCCCAGTGCATTCCTTGAGTTCAGATCGCATGGTGAATACATATCTTGACAAATGTCTGATCTTCTTGACGTATCTATCTTGTTTTGGCTATGTTGATCATGGCCCGGTCTCTAGTATCTAACCAGTTCTATGGTGGACAAATTCAACAACCTGTTCGAGCTATGCAGACATGATTCTCAAGTCCTACACTAATCCTGAGGCTGTTCTACAAAGAGCCATGTGGCAAACTTGGTTACTCGGTCTGCTAAAACACTACCTAGGTAGTCTCGCTTAGAAATTCGTAGGCAGAAGAGACATCTTCTCTTTTGGGTTGGGTCTTCACCGGTGACTAGAACTTAAAAGAAGGCATCAAGCATCACTCAAAGGGCGCCCTAGAAAAAAAAAAGACCATCAGAGGTCACATTTGCAGCTCATGAGTTTTATCTCAAGACGGGTCATGAGGTAACGTGAATTTCGCTACATCCAATTCAAAAGACCTGTGATTCCCATGCACCATGTACCTCATACCTAGTTTGCTGGCTACAGAGTTACTAGCTGCACAACTATTTTGGTTTCTATTTGGCACTTTCTGTCGAAAAGGCAAAGTCAGAAGTGGTGGTTATAGAATTTACTACTGTGGACTCATCCCAGTCGGCCGCTATCGGTGAGGAAAGTGACAGATTGCCCCGAGGAGTAGAGTGAGATGCCTAGCAGAAAGCAAAGGATGCGGAGGTCGTACGGCGGAAGGAGGTAAAAATTGCTAGCCATTTGGGGCCTCTTCCCTCTAATGACGTATCTAGCTTTATGTCTGTCTACACGATGAATAGGGAGGTCAACGGTTGGGCTGTGCAGATGGTAGTGTAGCTGACAATTTGGTTTCTAATCTACTTGGCTGGTTACCTTACCCGCAGACAAACTTTGATATGTCGTCCATTGTGCATCTACTGATATAATCTTGCCTTTGAAGTACGCGGGATCTCGAGGCCTGCGTTGGATATCAAGAACCATGGTAGAAGAACCTTGGGGGCACAACCCCCAAGTGACAAGATTTCTATACACAGGTCAACTCATGAACGTCGACCAACATATCATCACGAAGAAAGACACCAAATCCATCTTGAAACAAGGTACTTGCCACGGATGGATGATTTACTTTACTGAGGAAAGTAAATCTGATTTTCGTTTTCTCAACATGCGGAACGTCATAATGTCATTATGAGTAATCACAGAAGACATACATTTCCTCCTAGGCCACGTAGGAATCCTGAAAATAAGGCAAATTTTATCTATACCGATCCGGGGGTAGAGCAGCTGAACCTTCGTAGCACATGCGTTGCACATAGACAGTATAGTATTCATGTCAGCTCTGTAGTCCAAGCTTAAGTATTGGTCCCTGCGTCCTTCCAGGTCACACCAGTATCTTCAGTACGGCGGGTCGGGGAAGAGGGCCGTGTGACTAAGAGGGATGGAGAGGGTGGCACGCATGGTTGTGCGGTCGCATTGTTGCATGAAAGGATGAGATGGAGACGAAGCAAGACAGATTTAGTCAAGCCTCTTTAGTCTCAATCGCGTAGATATCTTGTCCAGGAAGGAAAACAAATGGGAGATCATACCGAGTATGATTTCCCTTTTTGATAACGAGCACCTCAGAAGAGACGATCCTAAGCCCATCTGAGATTCTCTCAGAGGCTTTAGGAACTACCTTGCACGGTATCCAATTGGAAGTACCGTTTGATGGCCACACCCGAGAATCAAGTTGGGCCCTGGTTGTCTCCCCCTGAACGGTGTCCAGGACTAGCACCGATCCAGAACTAGTCAACAGCCACATCTGTAAGCTTAAATCACCAAAGCTCCCCTGACGTAGGTTCTTGGGCAGCAGAATTTAAGTAATGATCATTGCCTAGATTAGCATCTCACATCTTTAGGTGGCACAATGACGAGCGAGGAGCTCATGGTTGGAATATTGGCTGATCATGGCATGAAAGGGGGGCATTTCAAGCCCACTGAGGAGTGCATGTGTGCTTGTTGAACACTCCTATGGGTAGTAGAACCCATTCCAGTACTGAGAAAAGCAGGGGGAGCAACCACTTGCCTCGAATACTTCTGCAGGCTTTTCTTCGCATTGCCCGGACAGATCACAAACCTTCGACATCCCCTCTGAGGATGGATACCGAGTCAAGCCTCGGAAGTCTTCCGGATGTCGATCCACGGTATGGATACTCATCTGCTTCTCAATGAATATCGGAGATCCCGGTTGGAAGGGAGGGAGGCCATTCATATCAATGAGATTCTTCCCGATGGTATGATGGGGTATCTTCAACCCCCGAGGATGGTTGTAAAACTATAGTATGCAGGTGGGTAAAAAGATAGGTTGAAATCTCTGTGGAGTTCTTGACTGGTCAAATCAATCAAGAAATGATGAAAATCAGGTCTCTTGCATGACAGAAATGTTTTGCCTGTCGGGTGATTTCCAATGATGTCAAAGACACACAAGGGATGACTTGGGCTGGTTCGTTGTCGCATTTTCATACGTCAATGTTGACAAAAACAGAAACAGAAGGGGAGAGATAGGACCAAACATCATTTAATCAACAGGAGCAGGTAAATTCACGCCTTAAAAAAAAATTAGTTGCTCCACTGATCTTCTTCAATCTCGGATCGTGAAGATCACTCTTCAGCCACTGTCTCGATACCCACACACACCCCCCTTTGACCTGACGCGGCCTTCAGATTTCTTTTGACTCTGCGAACTTGTGGGACCTCATGGGCTTGTGGAACCCCTGGTCTTTTCGACAATGAGCTCGGTCCCCCTGTCTCTCTCCCCTTTGGGGGGATCCTTCGCTCGGCCAACGGTCGAGATTTGGTGAAGTTCGATGACATACGATCCAGAACGTCGGCTGTAAAGACAATCCTTCCCCTTTGAGGCTAGAGAGCCAGGTCTCGCTCAACTAATGTGATAATCTCCTGCAATGCCCGCCCAGGGGAAATGGACCGGATCTATTCGCCATGTTGGTAGTCAGTTCCATGCCTCGGGTCATCGTCCACTCTTATCCATTGAACCTTGCCAGCTGATTGACCATCGTGGCAAATTGGCAAACCCCGTGAGAGAACCTGGCATGGAGAATGGCGCCTCTACGGCTACACGGGGAAATCATGGCCCAAAAGAAATCCCCTTCCAATGCAGTCTCATTGGGCCTCTGACTCTTCTTGATATGGCCCGTGTGCTGCCCAGCAAACCGGAGAAGACTTTTTTCTGTTTTATTTTCAGTCCTGTCTTTAACTGAGAGGACCCTCGTAAATAGAGGGAACTCCTGCATCACACGCATCGTGTCCACTGTCTCTTTATATTAAATCGCCTTGCCTGATTTCCCTTCCCCCCCCCCCATATCCCTTCCTCCGAGGTTGCATATATCTTTATTTTCCGATACAATATCATATGTCTTGAATTATGTACACATGACATAGTTTTCATTCCTGGTGGGACTTCCTCCGATCTCAACCCCCCCCCCCCCCACCCTTCTCGAGAAGCTCTAGACCTGGCGTGCAGGTTCGTACCAGTTCCTCTTTGTGTTGGCGACAGTGGGTTCTTCTCTCTTTTCTAATGTTTCTGCGATGAAAGAGGTGAGCACACTATCTATTGGGTTGTCAAAGCTCACATAGTCCCAGCATCAAGAGCCCTCCCGATATTATCTCACATAGCTGACTGTTGCCGGGTGACAGTTGACCACTTGGGCACATGAACCGCATTGCCCGTGCTTTGATCTATGAGCTCGGTCACCCAGGGGGTCTGTGAGCTCTACTGAGTAACCAAGAAGTCGAGGCCAGTTTGAGAGAAAAGAATTACACGAAAATGGCAGGAGGTTTTTTTGACCTTCCGATCTCCCGCAGCGCCTCTGATGAAGGATCATCAAGTATATCACGGCCGCGTTCCTTTAAATCATCACTGCCCAGTGATAGCTTCCAAGGCCAGTCTCAGGTGCAGAGCTTCAGTGACGCTAGCGCACAGGGCAAGCATCGGAATGCAGGAATTCTCAAAAGCAAGAACCGTGTAAAGCTTACAGCCAGCGAGTCCGAGGCAAGAGACCAGCAAACTGGGTCCATGGTCGAATTCCGACTGGATCGAAGGGGCACTGAGCTGCTGCAAAAACCATTACCCACTGCCAGCATTCCAGGCTTCCAGGAAAAGGTCCCATCAAGCTCTCAACTGGCATCAAAGGTGGAAGATGATCACATTCGTGCGTCAGTAGATGTCGCCGGTTTGACGATCAGCACCAGAACTAGCGCCCCAGGAACGTCAGGAGAATATGAACTTGGTCAGGGTACGCATGACAAGGGGCGTGCCATCTGCTTCGCCCATGAAAGGGCCCACAGGCTCGCATCCCTTCTCAATTGCGCCCAGAATTCTCTGAAGCAAAGCCCTCGGTGCAGCCTAGTGTCTTCAACTGGCTCCAACCCTGCTGAATCGGTGTACCAGACCGAAGATGCAGATAATTTTCCTGTGATCAGCTTCCCCGAGAAACAACAACTCTTCGACACCTTGATAGATGAACATGAAGCGGAAATCTTAGATGGGCGATCACCACTGTGCAACGCCGAAGCCCAGTATCTAGTGCATCAAATGTCACCCCGAGACCTTAACTTCCTGACTCGCCTTCGCCCTCGGTCCCCCGGCCTGCACTCCAGTGACCAAGACACCGCCAGCGAGGCCAGAAAATCATGCGAATCTGCTGAACGAACCAGAAATTACCGCGGAAGCATTCTTTCATCGCTACTCAAGATTTACGACCAGCCTCCTTATAGCCAGAACCAAAGTCGAGGACGTTATGGGCGCTCTCGCCAGGGGAGCTCCTCCGAGTTCAGTGGACGCGGCCTGTCCCCGGACTCTGTTTGGAAACCACAGCGGAAGTGGTATCATAAAACAATCGCTCGTTCCAGCATTTCCATGGCCGGCTCTTCCCGCCGCTCCGGCTCTCCTTTTGCCATGCTCACGCGGTCCCGCAGCAGTGGTGCTGCCATTCCAAGCTTAGGCCACTCACGTCCCAAGCCTCAGCTTGAGGATGAAATTCACATCACTGTTCATATCGCCGAGCTTCTGTCTCGACAACGGTACTTGATCCGGCTTTGTCGTGCTTTGATGAAGTATGGAGCTCCAACTCATCGATTGGAGGAATATATGCGCATGACAGCTCGTGTCATCCAGATCGATGGCCAGTTTTTGTACATACCGGGCTGCATGATCATCTCGTTTGATGATGCCTCCACACACACAACAGAAGTCAAGGTTGTCCGGTCCAGTCAAGGCATAGATCTGGGTAAGTTGGCCGACGTACATGAGATTTACAAGGAAGTGATTCACGATGTCATTGGGGTTGAAGAGGCAATACAGCGACTCGATGAGATTATGAAGAAGCAGAGCAAATTCCACATTCTATTCCTCATCTTCGCTCACGGCTGTGCTAGCGCATGTGTTGGTCCCTTTGCCTTCAATGCCCGACCGGTTGACATCCCGGTGGCGTTTCTACTAGGGTGTCTACTCGGAGTTTTACAACTGATCCTGTCAACCAAATCGAGCCTTTATTCGAATGTGTTCGAGATCTCTGCTGCAGTTCTCACATCTTTCCTTGCTCGTGCCTTCGGAAGCATCAGATTCCATGGGGAACCTCTGTTTTGCTTTTCTGCCCTCGCACAGTCGGCCATCGCCCTCATCCTCCCAGGGTACACTGTACTATGTGCTAGTTTGGAGCTCCAGTCACGCAGTTTAGTTGCAGGCTCTGTTCGCATGGTCTACGCTATCATTTACTCCTTGTTCCTCGGATTTGGGATTACCATTGGCACCGCCGTTTACGGGCTCCTCGACTCTCAAGCCTCGACGGCGTATACATGCCCCGCCAGCCCCATCCATAACGAGTACCTGCAGCGGTTTCCGTTCGTGATTCTCTTCACCGTGTGCCTGGCGATCGTCAACCGCGCCAAGTGGAAACAAATGCCGATCATGGTAGTGATATCTCTAGCTGGCTACGTGACCAACTACTTCAGCGCCAAGCGTTTCTATACCAACACCCAAGTGTCCAATGCCCTGGGCGCTTTTGTCATTGGTGTGATGGGCAATTTCTACAGCCGGCTACGACATGGACTCGCCGCTGCAGCCATGCTCCCAGCTATCTTTGTTCTTGTTCCTTCTGGCCTAGCGGCTAGTGGGTCTCTGATTTCGGGTATTACTTCTGCGGAGGAAATGACCCGGTCTCCATATGCAGTTGTGAGCAATGGAACACAAGGATTTGTCGACGCGGCAAAGAAGCTATCAGCCGAGGAGGCCAGAAACCAAAGCTATGGTGTTGTTTTTGATATCGGATACGGCATGGTCCAAGTTGCTATTGGCACGACGGTTGGTCTCTTCCTAGCCGCTTTGGTGGTTTATCCGCTAGGCAAGAAACGAAGCGGACTGTTCAGCTTTTAGTCCATGGAGACGTCAATTGCCTTTCTCTCTCACTTCTGTTGCACTTATCTCTCTTGTTATTGCGTGCATTGCTTTTATCGTCATGCTCGACCATCGAGTCTCTTGGACATTTCGCATCCATGAACCCCGAATCTGAGGAACGGGAGTTCACTTGTTGTATTCTAATTCTTTTCTGTTTTATGAGACTGGCGAATGCAAAGACTATTGGCCTCTTTGCTGCGTCTCGACCTTTTTATTCCTCGTGTTGTCCTCGCCGATTAAGTCTAAATTGACTCACTATCCCGACCCTCTCCGTCTGGACATATATAGAAGCTACGATTCTCACGAGTCACGACTAAAATCATCGAGGCCTTTTCGCGTGTGCCTGTCTTTTGGATATCTATGTCTTTTATCCCAGGTGACAAGTTTGAATTTCGAGATGGGAAGAACAAAACTGCAATGTCTGAGCTTTGTCGTTGTCTGAATCTAGGCGAAACATCGATAGTCACAATTTACTGGAGTAGCAATGTGATCTTTTTGTCAAACTGGGTGCAATTTGTATCGGTTTACTATATGCACTAGCCATAACGATAGCACGCAAGTTGTGCACTCTGAGTAAGATATGCTAAGGCCTCAGTCAGCTACAAGTCAAACCAGCAGTCGCCTGACAATTCTCGAAAGAAATTTCATTGGGACCTCTTCTTCTTCTCCTTTGGTTAGTTGGTAAAAGCTCTTACAATTTGTGTGAAGAGAAGCTTGCCCAGAACATCCCTTCTCGCATGTGCCCTAACCGCCTGGGGTTTATACGCCCTACAGGACTCACCTGTGGACTAAGCTCAAGGCCAGTGAAAACAGAGATGAGCTCGAATGATTCTCTTAACTGGCCATTGACAAGAAATCCAAAATTAGAAAAAAGAATATCAAAGCTTTTTTACCAGGTAGATAATAAAAAGCAGATCCATGATTGATGGCATGTATCCGGTACTTGACTACCTATTTACGCCATCTCGAATCTCTGTCTCAAATCCAGTATCAACGAATGCCCCTTGTGGAGCACGAGATATCTTAGAATTGCAAATCTCAACCCCCAAACTCCGAGCTTGTCAAACGATTGAAATGCCCCGTAAATGCGTCTTTCCCAGTCCCATGATGTTGGGCTGGGGGTTCGTCAAGATCATCGCTATCAATCAATACATTCATGGTGAATCCCCTTAGGAAACAGAAAAGAGGAAGAAAGGAAGAAAGGGAAGGGAAGGCCGAATTGCCAGGAAACAAGATTATTGAGAGTATACGTAGGAGGAATTCTGAGGAAAAGCGGATGGATGGCATTTTCTATCGTCTCTCCACTCGACTAAGTGCTCCCAGAATGAGACCCAGATCTTCCTTGATTCTTGTTGGTGGTGGATATTCGTCATCGCTGCCTTCCATTGCGAGGCGACGTTGCGTGTTCTGCGCATCGCGCTCTTCCAGTCGCTGTGAACAGATGCGTAATATTCGGGATGAAACGGTATCTGCGGAGGCGCGGTATAGTTCGATGTCATGCACACCCGCTGCGAAGGCATCAAGCGTAGGTGCCAGCCCAGATGTGATGCGCGATAATTGAGCAGAGACGGCAGATGGGGTGATAGGTGGTCGGGTTGATGGGGTAGAGGATTCGCCTTCCGGTTCATTAGAGGGATTGAGAGATTCCAGTATGGCCTGTTGTGAGGGGTCGAGGAGAACGGGGTCAATTGCTTCGCGTTGTGATTTACGTGAAGGTTTATCTTTTGGCTGCTTGTCGGATTGTAGTTTAGCCTTAACTGTGGGGATCGCTGGCTGTCGAAGAAGCGCATTGAGGGATTGTCTTTCTTTGTGTAATCTGGGAATTCGTCAGTCCTATACATACATAACAGCTCCTGGCGATCTACTTCTGTAAATGCTCCTCCAACTCTTTGATCTTTTCTGCATTTTGCAGGTTTCGCGGGTTCGGCTTTTTGACAACCACGGCTGGGGGGTTCAAATCTTCACGGCCGAGCCAGTTAGAAAGCTCCGAGTTGCTAGAGAAATCGTGAAGAAGCTCCTCTTGAATCACACGGGCTGGAAAAGGTCAGATTAAAAAAAATATACTTCTCACACAGATCAACAACTTCCACGTACCTGCTAAGCGCGCACTTTGATCATCCGAGTTTGAGCCTCCCGAGGGCTTTTCCCCTATTGCACGAGTCGCACACCAGATCAATAGTTGTCGCATCCTTCGCGGCTCTGGAATTCCGTCATCGGCAATGTGCTTGTAGAAATCCGCTGTACCAACTTCTCGATGGGGCAACGCTATACAGGAAAAGAGACAAGAAATCAGCATTCAGCCTTTGATAGCCCCTCTGCAGGAAACCTACCATTTGATGTCCCTGAGTCAATTAAAAAACTGGCTCTCCGTCCTCGCATACCCAAGCTGCTCCGCCGTCGCCCTTTGTCGCTTTTATCACCCTTTCCACCTCTGAACTCTTTATTGCGTTGAATTACCGGAGTATCGGCTACCGGAAGTGCCACTTTTGTGCCCTCTGGCGGTTGTGCTGGAGAATGATATCCATTTGAATCAGACACTTGCACTTGCTGTTTGGCTTTTGGTAGCCGCCCTGCTTTCTTCGGTTTCTTGGTCTCGGGCTGCTGCTCTGGGCTATCGTGGGCTCGTGTGGAACGGATCATGTTTGTCGGTTGAGATTCGGGTCCTGTATGTATTGTCTTTGCAGACCCCCTCGTCGGTCTCCTACTTGGAAGCTCCACGCTTTTCCCCTTTGCTGGCACCGCACTTGAAGGAATCTCATCGTCCCTTTGCTTTTTCCGTGGCCGTCCTCTTTTCGGTGTTGACTTAGCAGGCGCATTTTCCGCGTCTGAACGGGGATGATCTGGAGCTGCTTCGATTGATGGCCTGGGCTTCTTTGATGGTAGTAGAGAGAACTGGAACCCTTCCGCATCCTCCTCGTACATCACTAAAGAGAAGAGTTAGCATAATTTTTCCAGCCCTCGCTCAACGGCTTTCAGCCCTAGAAAATCACTCACCAGCTGGCCGCTTCCCTAACTTGTTTGTGCTCTCCTCGAGTTCTTGTTTACTTGTGCTAAGTCGCGTAGTCCTTCGTTCCTTGACTTTTCCGGTCCCACTGGACACGGTCACCGAGCGCGATTGTGTCTTTGGAGCAGCCATTCCAATCGTCCTCAACGGTTCGCGACGCTTTGTCTTGGTCGTTGTGGTCGCCAGAACCGCAACTGTCATGTCAGGAGGGGCTCACGCGGGGTTATTGTGGTCAAAAACAAACGCAGGGATGGCGAAACAAGCACCCCCGTTCCGATATCGACAAGTCGTTATGTGGTGTCCTGCCCTCCAGTCAAATCACCCTGGTTGAAGAAGTTTCCTGGAGGAATAACAAGCGCGACTCCTTGGTGGTTACGAGTTCCGGACTCGGTTTAGCGCCCCTAAAACAGCCGATCGAACTTGACACGGTGTTTTTGAATCAGACAATTTGCTGATCAACGGGTACTTCGTGTGTATAGGGTTGTGGCACGATTAAGATGAAGTCGGGTCAGTCAGCTCGCGGAATGCTAGGCGCGGAGCGCGTCCCAATTCAGAACTGCAGCTAAAGAGTAGCAGATTAAGCGACCTATTTAATTCAATCGCTAAGAAGACACGCAAGGGAGCGGCAGGTTGAGGTCTGAGTGGTGGGTTGGATTCTCGCACGCGGTTGTTTTGGTCGGGCGCGTGGGGACCGCGCTAGTCTGTTGTTGGAATGACCGTCATACTTCAATGTTCTACTTTGACTGCTTCTCTGCCTTTCTGCTTTTCTGCTTTTATCCCATGGTTGTATGATCAAGAAATATTGAAGTGCTTTAATAACTGGCTCTAAAATTAAACTCTCTCTCATCTTTTTTACCCTCAATTATCGCAATGCGCAGATGCTGCTAGATAAACGCTATGATGTTTTTTTTCCAGAAAACGAACAACACCCCGACACCGATGTTGAAAAACAATATGTTCAGTGAAAGAAAGAAAGCGGTGGGAGTTGAGCCCTGTCCACTCCAGAGAGATATATATATAGACAGATCATTGGATCGACTTGAGTAAGGTGGAGGTCGTGCTTGGTGGTGCCAGGCTGCCCTCGATGCGCCGCTTGGCGTCTTGCATCTCCTCGGCAGTGATATTCTCCGACTTCTTGGGCATATCAGGTTCATACTGAGGAATATCCGGGCTGTGTCCGACCGACATTCCAACTCGGATCTGACAAGAAGGCGTGTTAGTGTGCAATTTTATCAAAAATTACAAAGAGGTCGTCTCTTACCAAAGTTTCCAAAGCACCCTTGGAGTTATCCGCCAGGTCCCTGTCGAAATTGACTCTGCCATCTTCAAAAAGCACTAAAAGAGTGCTACCGCCGAATTTGAAGTAGCCTAGCTCTTCAGCCCGTGAAACCTTCTCGCCGGCCTTCCGGGTAATAACTGTGCTGCCGACCATCATGGCACCAACGCAGACAACCATAACTCGGCCATGCTCAACAGAGTCAATGGGGACGAGAATGCGGACATTTTCACCGTAAACATCCAAGGCGGATCGGATGGCCATGGGATTCACTGTGTAATACTCACCCTCGATGGTCTTGGGCTCACCCATGATACCATCCACGGGGATGTGGAAGCGGTGGTAATCCTGAGGGGCCAGACGGAAAACCCCGAGACCGCCGTTTCTGTACCGAGCAGCATCCTCTGGGTACGCATTGCCCAGCAATCTTTCAATTGAGAACTCGCGGCCCTTGACCCAGATGCTGGTTGCATCGCTCAGGCGATCAAATACCACTGAGCGACAGTCAGCGGGAGACACAACGATCTTAGGCTCGTCAGGAGCGGAGCATGGACGGGCGTCAGGCTTGAGGGCACGGTAGAAGAATTCGTTGAAGTTGCGGAAGTTTTGCAGGGGCATCAGGACTTCGGACATGTCCAGCTGGTGGAAATTGATAAAATCCTTAATCTGAGATGCCGAGGCCGGGTCGTCATATTTGCGACCTTGCTTGACACTCAAAGAGCGCAATACACGACGGACTAGTAGAAATTGTCAGCGTACACTTTTTTTCATCGAACAGATACACCTGAGCCCCGGGGTTACATACTTCGCTTCTTTTCCATATCACGACTTTTAATGCCCTTATACAGCAACCGGATTCCAAGTCGCACATAGACACTCATACGTTCCTCATTAATCTGACCCGTGATGCGATCTTGTACAAGGATATTGGCAGAGTTCGCTCCGATTTTGTATCCGCCGTATGAAATCTTTGTGATGACCTTGGAGTACCACTTGCGCTGTGCCTGGCTGGAAGTCACAAAGCCACCCATGACTAGGTTGTCAACCTGGCGCCAGTCCTGACTTGCGCACGTGGCAATATGTGTGATGATATCCGCATCAGAGCGTTTCGCAAGACGTGGCTGGTGGCAAAGTGGGCACTCGCGAATTTCGACGACGTGCTCCTCACCCCTTTCATCTGCGAGATCATCGGGCAGTAGGTACTCATCAGCGGAGCTAGATTGTTCTTCGCTGGACAGGGTTGGAATGGATGTTTTCTGCGGGTCGGTATTGGAAGCCGCAGCGTTGTTGGTTTCCAAAGTGTGCTCGTCACTGCTTGATGGCTCACTGTCTTGACTTCCCGCAGTTGACAGAGGAAACGAAGGCACTCGGGGGGCAGCCATTGAATTTCTCTTTTGCAGGGTTTGAAGCGTATCCTCGAGACAAACCACTGCCTGGTCGAATGTCAAATCATCTGTTTCATTAGACTCATTCTCTGCGCTGAAGCGTTCAAAGAAGCTGTCAATTGTCGACTCTTTTAGTGTTGAGCCGAGAGTGTCAAGCATTGTCGTCATTTCCACCTTGTCAATGCGACCACTATCGTCAGCATCATATTGCTTAAGCATCAACCTCCAGAACTGCTGCCGGAGAGCACTGTATGGCAGATACTTTGCCTTGACATGCAGCTCTGGCGAATGTTTATCTTCCCACCGTTCTCTATTCTTGAGAATGAGGGGAATAGTGTAAGATCTGAAGCCGTCCTCGTCAGGTGGAGGAGCTGACTCGCCATTATACATGTTCAGCGTGGAAGGCTGCATTAAACTAGCACTATCCGTCTCTAAGATTCCTTCTTCTGGGAGGGAAGATGGCGCAAGGAGAGTCGGTGCTGGCGCTTCGAGCATTGATTTGCTTGAGACTGAAGTGGCGGAGTGACGCGTCTTTAATATAGGCCGAGCCATTTTGGATAGACTTGATGAAGACTGCGAAGGGCGGACTCCAGATCGTGAGGGGCTGGCCCCAGATCGCGAGGGACTACCTCCGGATCGTGCGCCAAAATTGGAAGCTGTAATGGGATCAGCTTCCTCAAAGTCGTCTACAAACTGATATAATCCCGTCTCGGGGTCTGCTTTTGGGCCAGACTGAACGAGATTTTGCAGAGGGAAACCTGCAGAGGCAACAAAGTCATTCCCTGAAAACTTGTCTCGATCTATCACAGTGAAACTGATGGTATACGACTGTTCATGCCGCATTACCTGGAACACCATTTTCTCATGATACACCGGGTTCAGGTTGTGGCGGATGACAGGAGTCCTCAAGGTTTTCCTTCCGAGAGAGGTCACGACAAAAGGATCCATATCGAACGATGTCCGTGTCACTAGAACATCAATTAACATCTAGCGTTTTGCATGCAGGAGGATAATCCATACCGTTTCGTTCAGGGGGCAGATCGGTCACCTTGACAATTTCCATGAAAACAATGCCCTGCACTCCAGTCCCCGAGCCTGAGTATTGATAGGCACGAGCTGCCAGGGACTTGCGTCTCAAGCGAGCCAGTCGAAGTCGCCGACGTCGCTTTTCCACCACTTCTGGACCACCTGTCTGGTCATCAGCCTCATCGGAGGTCTCATCGTCCCGTTCCAAGTCATCAAAATCGGCGGGAGGGATCTGAGGGATCTGATCATCCTCATCACCTGAGTATACCAATTTCTTGAACTTGCAGAATATGTCCGGCGGCGTGGCATTGGGGTTCGCAGAATCGACGAGCGAGAACTGCAACAGGATCTCGCCCGACACAGTGCTTTTCTTCCTTTTAGACGTCTTCCGCTTGGAATTCAACGTGTACCATCTAGGCTATGGATTCAAGTCAGCATGAGCCCCCTTCCCAATTGTTCGAGTAACGTGTCCCTTCACTCACCTGTTGGTTTACCTGGCCATCGGCGAAGATATCCTCCAATGCAATATCAAACTCGCCCAGGTAGTCCTTGCCGAACCGATCATGATCCCAGCATATAGCTTCCAGCAGCGGTACACCCACCACGGGCATATCGAACGAGACGTTCCATTCCGGGTTCAGGGTCTTGAAAATGGTCGGCGTCGATTGCCTCGCATCTCCTAATGTAACCACCAAATACTGTGCAACGTGTAAGCGGTCTCGTTTCGAATTATCTTTGTTGGAAGGGTGCTCACTGGGTCGCTCGTGCCACCTCGATCTTTGGCTGCGAGATTGCGTCCCTAATGAAACCACTGAAATCAGCCAGGGAGCCTATGAGGTCATTAAAAAGTTGCACAGTCCCTTAGTACTTACCCGGATCACTGAAACCCTGAGTAGCAGCTGTTTGATTTCTGATGATCGCATAGGACTGGTGCTTCTGCTCTGTCCGGGAGTTGACGACGCGCTTCTCGCCGAAAGGTGCGAACTCAACCGTTGGGGTAGTGCCAACCGGACCATGGCGGATGTACACCAAAGGAAAACAAAGGAAAAAAAAGGAAAAAAGAGAAAAAATGAAGATCTGAAGAAATGAAAGGCAAGAAAAAGAAGTGTTGAGCGGGTGGCTTGCCCCCCTAGTCAACACAGCTGTTGACGTCGAAGAGAGCCCAGACGCCAATCGATGATCCGCTGGTTGTGCTCCGGGTCGATCACAAGCCAAGAAACAGAGTTACCCACTGTAATTTCCAAGTTCCTGTCCGGTTATTTTTAAAGAAACAGGGATTGGTTAAAATTTGTGAGGGTTAGATCGTTGGATCATAAGATCAATGAAATGTAGAGACCTGGAGGGGAAAAGTGGGAGAAACACTACGAATTGGGGGCAACTGGGGGGTCGATTTCAAAAAGAGCTCCACACCGCAAGTTATTACAGGGTGGAAATGGGTCAAAATGGATGCCTACTGTATACTTGGCGGTGCTCTGGATACATGTATCCCCGTAAGCCCCTGCACGAAATGCAGTACCCCGCATCCTATACAATTGAGTATGTAAACGGGGAAGTACTCGAGAAATAATGGTGCTATGAGTTAAAAGACCAAATCCAAGATTAGTCTTGTCGTCGGTTTGTTCGTCCCCAAACCTCGTCGGCGTTAGCTTTGCCTTTGGTCTCCGGCACAAATTGATAGATGAAGACCCCGAGCAAACCGGCCATGGCTGCGAATACCCAGTATACCTGTCCACGACCACCGAGAGCATCGTCAAGCACTGGGAAGAATTGGGCTACCACAAAGGTTGCGATCCAGTTGGCGCCAAGCGCCCAGCTCTGTGCTGCGCCGACAGCTTCGGGCCCAACAAGCTCGGAGGCCAGGATGAAGGGGACCGGACCCAGTCCGACCGCAAAACATGCCACAAAAAGTAAAGCGGCAATCGCCGTCAAAACCTTAGCATTCATGTAGATACTTATCGCGAGAAGGATAGAACTGCAGCCCATACCGCAGATGCTCAGCATCAAGCACAGCTTTCGGCCAATGCGATCGGGCAAGGGGGAGCACGCCAGCGTGATCACGAGATTAACCGCAGAAATAATTACCGTGAGTAGTGCAGCAGTCGTTGGTAAGATGCTTTGTAGTAAGGAGACGCTGTACATGACAATGCTATTCATCCCGGTGAATTGCTGGGCGACCATCACACCAACCACGGCAATAATAGCTGGGCGATAGTAAGGATCTTTGACAACCTGCATGAAAGTGACTACAGGCTTGCTAGGCGGCCTGTCACCAGATAGAGAGAGCAAGGATTCTTCCTCGCCAGATACAGGGACATCTGTGGCCCTCCAACTCACAATCTCCGCTTCAACGTCGGCATCCCGACCGCGGATCCGCTGCAGGATCCGGCGTGCCTGACTGATCTTTTGATGTTCCGCAAGCCATGAAGGACTTTCCGGTACCAAGAAAAGCCCCAAAAGCTCCAGAGCACCGACAATTCCGACCACAGCCAGTATGAGTCTCCAGAGGCTTGCTTCGCTCCAGAAGTACCCCAAGGATTGTGTCAACAAAATACCGACATTGGTCATAATCTGAGTGAAAGCTCCAAAGAGACCCCGAGCACTAGGAGGGGCGATTTCCGAAATGTAGATAGGACCAACCACAATTGCAGCACCAGAGCCAATTCCAGAGAGGAACCTGCCAAGGCTCAAGACGGAAATCGTCGGCGCAAGTGTCTCCGCCACAGGACCCAGAACAAAGAATACTGTGGTTGCTCGTAATGCAATCAGACGTCCGTATTTGGTAGCGATGGGCCCTGCCAGCAGGGCTCCAAGTAAGCCACCGAGCGTGTAGATTGAAGAGACGAGGCCGAATTGTGATGGAGTCATAGGGAAGCATTGCGGTAGACCATAAAAAGTGATGCCTGACGAATGAGTTCCTTGACGTTCACACGTTATCACAGCTTTGGGGGCATTAAGCTCTGCCTGGGTAGTCAATCTATCAGTAAGGCTCAGTACACACGGAGGGGTGCTGTCGTACCAGATGGAAGCCAAATTGAAGCGGGCCAAGCGTGACAACAAACACGAGATATATGAGGTATGGGGTAACCCTCAACGGGGTTAATTCCCCCCAAACCATCGTAGGATGAATTCTAGATCAACCAACGACCTCGGGATGGGTCAAGGTACGTTAATAGGAGGTCCGGAGCTTAAGATGACGTTTACCGATCGTAGAGGTAAGATGATGTGAGGTCAAGATGTTCAAACGGAAAAGGTGCCTAGGTAGTCAAATTAAACGTTGAATTTAGCGAATGAATTCTCCTTCCAGATTAAAAAATGACTTGAACCAGTTGAGGAGTTGAAAGCTATGTTGTACAAGAAGTTGAAGACCTTCTGAGCACGGATCCGACATGTGATCTGACTAAGCGTTGACTCGACTGAACTCTTCGCATTGTACAACTCAAAGACAAAGCCTGACGAATATCTCTCTGATCTTTCATTTCCTTTTTTTAAATATTCAAAGAACTGGAAACCGTGGGAAAGTTACATCTCCACCAATGGAGTGACAACATCACCGGCCCATCCTGATCCACAAATGAGTTTGACAAACCCGCCCTCTTCCTCCGGCTCTCTCTCGCGAACCAGAGTCGGTAACTTGAAACGGAGTCTCCAGGCTACTGTCGATGGTAATTATACATGTTCTTTGAATCTGGTTACTCGTGATTCCTTGGTGTAACGCCTTGTCTCTTTCTGTCTTCTCCATCATGTTTGGGAAAGGGTTCCCTTTCTTAAATTCTGGAGGATTCTATTCTCGTGGTAACTCTTTCCCTTTGATTTTTGGTGATAATTTTGGCGTTATGGTACTAGTTTGCAATTGGGATGGATCAATGCCAACTCATTCAATTCTTGATCTGGCAACCGGAATATACTAATCGGGGGTTTTGACCAGATGCCATTGAATCAAGAAGACCCGGTGGGTATACCAGCAAAGTCCGGGTCCGAGATCGATATAATATAGTAGGCTTCATCAGCAGCGGTACCTATGGCCGAGTGTACAAGGCCGTTGGCAAAAATGGCAAGAAAGGGGAGTTTGCAATCAAGAAGTAAAAAAACAAGTCCTTCGAACGTTTGATGTCTTCATTCTAACCTCATCCAGATTCAAGCCCGACAAGGAAGGCGAAACAATCCAATACACGGGTCTGTCGCAGTCGGCTATCCGTGAAATGGCATTGTGCACTGAACTCTCGCATGTCAATGTTGTTCAACTAGAAGAGATCATTCTGGAGGATAAATGCATCTTCATGGTCTTTGAATACACAGAGCATGATTTGCTTCAGATCATTCACCATCATACCCAGCCTCAGCGACATGCTATTCCAGCACCCATGGTCCGGTCTATCATGTTCCAGTTGTTGAATGGACTGCTCTATCTTCATACCAACTGGGTCTTGCATCGTGATTTGAAACCAGCCAACATCCTCGTCACTTCAAGCGGTGCTATTCGCATCGGCGACTTAGGTTTAGCCCGCCTATTCTACAAGCCACTCAACTCCCTGTTCTCGGGCGACAAAGTCGTTGTCACAATCTGGTACCGTGCACCCGAGCTACTCATGGGGAGCCGTCACTATACTCCTGCCGTCGACATGTGGGCAATAGGGTGCATATTCGCCGAACTACTCTCGCTACGGCCAATCTTCAAAGGCGAAGAAGCCAAAATGGACAGCAAGAAAACCGTCCCCTTCCAACGCAACCAAATGACGAAGATTGTCGAAATCCTCGGTCTTCCCCGCAAAGAATCCTGGCCGGGTCTAGCCTCCATGCCCGAATATTCCCAACTCCAGTCCCTGGTGCTCCATCGCCAACCTTTACATCTCCATCGCGGCTCGAATCTTGACAGTTGGTACCAAAGCTGTATGAAAAATGGTGGATACACGTCCAACTCCAGTGCTGGCACTCCCGGTGCAGATGGATTTGATCTTCTGTCGCGTATGCTCGAATATGACCCGATAAAGCGGATCACCGCCGAGCAAGCGCTTGAGCACCCATACTTTACCGATGGGGGCCCTATCAGTGGTAACTGCTTCGAGGGTATCGAGGGTAAATACCCACACCGTCGGGTCACCCAAGATGACAATGATATTCGCTCCGGTAGTCTTCCGGGCACCAAACGGAGTGGACTGCCAGATGATTCGCTGATGAGGGCTTCAAAGCGCCTCAAGGAGTAATCTTTCCATTTGCTTGCTGCGTATCTGTGTTGATCATATTTTGCGGCGCGTGGACAGACTGGCTACTATATCCAAATCGTATATTTAATTCGGTGTTGGCGTTCCAACAACTGGCGAAATTGCATCATGATGATTTACGCGGGATTTGGTCTTGGCCATTCAGCCCTGGGGGCTACAAGGCGACAATGTATGTTGGATGTTGTTTTATGAATATGGATTATTCTTAATTTGAAGACGTTATTGGAGCTCTGAGGATGACAGTTAGTTCAATCATCCTGACATGCGCCAATTGTACTCATTTTCCCCTCCCATTATTGCCCATTTCCCAACCCCAATCCCATATTTGCAAAATATCGTACATGTTGAACCATCCCCGAAGATCCCCAGATCGCACCCGATGGTGATAACGCCGAAAAGATAAAAAGGATTGCGTAGAAAGATAATCAGTACCCTGCCATGAAGCGAAGAGTTGGTGAAAATTGTCGGAAAATCAGACAATGGATTGATGGTCACTTACCATTCTGTTCGTGTCGCTTGCCTCCGCTGGCGTCATCCTTGCCGTCACGACCCACAGTAGAAGCGTGATTAGCGGCATCTTTGATACCCTGCTCATCACCACGTAGCGCCTCAAAGTAGCCCTTGATGTCTTCCGCACTGACAGCCTGTCCACTCTCAGCGAAGGGTTGCAGGAAGACCTTCAGCTTGTCACGCAAATGGTTGTATGCCATTGCACCCTCGATGGCACGCACCCGATCCATGTTGTTAAGTGCTGCCTCGCCGCGATCGTATATGCTGCCCGTACCGACACTTGCGGCACCATTAGCCTGGCCATCGTCAGACATAGGAGGCTCATATGTATCTTCTTCTTCGCGAAGCTGGGGGTAGGGAACAAGCTTGGGGAAGCACTCTGCGCAGCGGCACAGCTGACTATGGAAATCATCCAGGGCAAAAAGAGAGAAAGACTCCATTGGAATGGACTTGGGGAGCTCGGTGTGCTTAGGGGAAGAGTGCTTCGTAGGATTGTCGTTTTCTTCCTTGGTAGGCTCCTCTTCCTTCACGACCTTCGATAGCTGTTCCTCGACAGAAGCTTCTTCTTCTTTAGTTCGCTTAGTAACCGGCTCTCCTTCAGTGGGCCCTTCATCATCTACTTTGCGCTTTTTTGAGTTTTCCTTCTTCTCCTGGTGCTTAGATTCGGTTTCCTTAGAATCGATCTCCTTGGGCTCAGTTTCCTTATGCTCGGTGGCTGGTACAAAAGGAGCCTCCGTCACATTTGGCTCAGTCACATTCGCGGCTTTCTTGAATCCACCCTCCCGGAAAACTGGCGGCAAAAAGCCAGGAGTGCCCGCATAGGGCTTGATCCAGGGGTTAGAGTCGATGCACTTGAAGCAAATCAGATGGTCGAAATCATCCTCTGCGGGAAACCCAGGTGGGAGCGGATCTTCTTCCTCCGCAACAGAATCTTCATTTGTGGCATCGCCGCCGCCGATTCCATTGACCTTGGGGGCAGGCTTGTTCCAGTCACGCGACAAGCCGATGAGACACTCCGGATGCCACCAGTCCTCGCCACAGCCTCCGGTCTCGACAGTGCCAAGTCCCAAGCACTGGTACATTGTCCCTTTTTCTGAATACGCGTCGTACTGTTCACCGCAGCCACAGAACTGATTGCGAAAGTTATGGTTGTATGCATTGCCTGCTGCAGCCTCTTGGGAGTGCACACCTTTCTTGCCGGTTACAGGATCCTCACGCAGTGTGCAGCAAGAAGTTGATGGCAAACGGGTGGTTCCACAGTCGCAGACAAAGTTGCGCTTGTTGAAGAGCTCGACTAGAGTATGCTCGCCGTGGCAAGCGATTGAACACGAGTAACAGACGGCGGCAGCGGTGTAGGATTTGTTGGAGTCAGTAGGGGGAGGATTGCAGGTGAGGCATGCAAATAGGACTTGTCGCAATGGTCCAAGGTCATGTGTGCAAGAGTCAAAGGCCTAAAGTCAATAGGTCAGCTGTGGAACAAGTCGCGCGCCACCTGCTTGGTCGAGATACCTACATAAGGAAGAGCCTCGCGTGCATCTGCCTCTAGCTGGAGCTGGGAATCAATAAACCTAAAATCGGTTATTATGTCACTTTCCTAATGTGGGAGAGAGTGTTGGGGGAATGCGTCATACTCTTTCGCGGTCTGGGAATTCTGGGAGGCCATGCTCTCACTACGAGCATCCTCGGTAAGCTGGGCAACAACCGAGTGCGAGGCGTCCATTGTTGGAAAATTTGTCTGAGTCCTTGAAAAAATTGGCAAATAACGAACGGCTCACGAGTCATGCGTGTCGAGGCGATGTGTTGGACAACGATGCGACGTACATGTTGTAAGAGTCGCGACAGAACCCAACAGTTTCTGCCGGCAGATTTCAACAAAAGTAGGGCGGTCTAGCCACAAGTGTTTCCCAATATCACCTCAATATTTCCAAGTCTAGAATGTCCTACATCATTTTGTAATAAATTGAAGCTTGATTTATTATCATTATTATGGGAAAGTGAGGCTAAAGAAACATAGTTAGCAGTCTAGCTACCTTATTTCTCCAACTTGCTTCACACTACCATCATACAACACACACCGCTCGCGGACTTATGATGACTGTCATCCCATAATCTCCGCCTCTACCCCTTGCAATTCCCCTCATCATACAGGCGGAAGTGGTCGTAGCTTTGGATATCGCTCACTCTACAAGCACTACAGTTCTAGAGCATTGAGCTGGGTTTTATGCACGCTCAAGATACTGCGATTCTTTGTAGCTGCGGAAATCCACAGTCGAAGCTACCCGGCGCGAGTACCGTTATCATGCTCACACTAAGGTATTGGTCGGGTCTTGTTCGCCAATTTGACCGGCATCATCTCATTTAAATTGGTTTCATGCGGGATAAAGTCTGGTGTCTTGCCAATAGTGATCGCCTTTTCGTCTCAAATCAAAACTCCAAGGTCGCCAGTTGCTTCCGTCAGAGATAAGTAGGCAGACTTGACGTTCATCTCTCTGAGCTCGGTGATGAGGTGAGTGTACAGCTTGACAGAGTTTATCTTCTCAGAACCTTGGAATCCGGCGTGGGAGAAAAAGCGGATAGCCACCTTCTCTGCACCGATAGCCTTGACAATGGCCTTTTACAACTTCAAGGGTCAAGATGAATCGGTTATCGGTGGGTCTGATCTACTGATGAATGCGCTGGTTTGCACTAGGTGTGAGGAACTAGCCAGGCTTATTGTTAGGTTGATAGAGAAAGGCATCTACAAAGGACATGGAAAAGGCGAGCAAAAGAAATGGGAGAAGAAAAGAAGAATGTGCGAAGAGAATTGAAAATAAAGACCACATTCTAATTATGTACTCATGCTATTGGGAAAGTCGTCCCCAGTCCAGATTGCCGTTCTGGGACACCTTCTTCTAGTTGTTCTCCCTTCACATTTTCTAGCTCCAATCAATTCAAGCCTTCTTCAGTTATGGAGCAAATACAGGTACAGTTGCATCAGAATCCTGTCATCCACCTCGATGTAACAGCTAAGGAGTTTACTGCTGCCCTCGCTCATGTTAACTGCCGCCATGGTTTCATCGGTGGATATGCAGCGTCTCTTATTGGTGGAGAGAGGAGGAAAGATGTACGCCTTCTTAGTATCTTTTTTGACCCTTGGCACAATTCCGCGAGCTGATTTGAACTAGGATATGGATCTCATCGTTGATGCAGACCCGGCAAACGTCCGACAAATGCTACTCCAGGTATCTGGATTCCAGTTGACTAGTGTTAATCACCTGGGTTTCACATACAATGACAAGTTGATCAAAGTCGGGGTTCTTCGTGGTGGCCGCGCCCAATCGATGAAGCTACCTGATGCCAATTCCATTCGTCCCTAGCATGTTGATGCCCACAACCTACCAGGGCGCGTTGGCGATACCCCAATTTAGTGTGCTTTTGCCTTACCCTTTATACTGTGTATACTCTGAGCTTTATCTTACCATCTGATTACAGTCCCTATCATAAACCCATATGTTCTCGTGCTCACAACGATCAAGAGATGGTCATCCATTGCTGAATCCACACGCCCAAAGAGTGTCAGAAAGGCTCATGGTGACATTGAGGATATTACGGCGATGTTGAAATGGCTTTCTCAAAACAAACTTTCATTGATTTCATGGGCTACCCTGAAAAACCAAGGGAGGATTTGCTTTTGATGGTTCGGAAGTTGCATGAAGCAGATAGTGCTGTTCGCCCGCTGCTTGAGATCACGATGACTGCACAGGATTTTGCGCTTATTCGCAACTAGTTAGCCGTGAGATAGTCCGACAGTCGCAGACGACATGTTCAGTAATAATCAAATATTTTTCCTCCGTTGAGCCCCAACTCCTAGAGTTTCATATTCTGAACTGCTTCTTCTACCCTTTTCTGGAAATCTTCTTCGCTCTCGTCCTCGTCGACTTCGCTCTCTTTGGTATTCAGGGTTGTCACGCAAAATGTAAGAGGATATAAAACCCACAAGATCATCGCGCACATGAAGTCTGCTGCTGTCGTCAATAGGGTGGCTGAGAAGATGGCTTATTAATGACAGCATGTACATTCGAGGCTTAGGTGTCAAGACCCTCAGTGTGTGGTCAAAAGTAGACGTGACTTCGACAGTGTCTTGGAGAGTCAGGCTGACAAACGACAACCGGTAGAGAAATATTCGGATTGAACCAGCTGGATCTAAATTGTGAGCAAATCCCGCTCGCTCCCACTGTCCGTATCTCACAGTGGGCTTCATGGATGGAGGAACACAAGGAATTCCATGGGCTGACAAGGTCTGAGATGAAAGTGATTGCAGTGCATCAGGCACCGCCCATTCAACAAGCTGAGACCAGGAAGTCAGTAAATCTCTACGATTACCACGGAGTATCAAATTACTGAATAGGATCTCTTGTTAAACC